GACTGTTTTTAGTGCTTTATTGCTTACCGTGCAGCGCTTTGTAAAGACTGTTTTTTAAAAGTGCTGCACAAATAAAGATGTATTATTATGAATGGTAAAACAAATGCTTTCTCTCTGTAACTCCCTATGCCAGGGGTGCTCAATACGTCGATCGCGATCTACCAGTCGATCGCAAAGGTAGTATTGGAAGATCGCATTACATAATAAAAAATAAAAAAATCCGTTTATGCATTTGCGTGTGGACAGAGATAACTGGAGTTTTTGCGTTTTTGCACGGCACAGTTTGCGCCCAAAACAACAACAACAAACAAAACGTGCGACCTCTGATCACTAAAGCATGGATCATACTGCCTTAACAGGGTTCACAGCAGCGATCCTCGCTCCACATCAGAGAGCAGCAAAGTGATCACACACGCTCGAAAACAACCAAAACAGGAGCTAAACCAGGATCAAACCAGGGCTGAGGACTGGGGTCAATGCTTGTAAACATATGTCTTCACCATGGATCTATAATAACACGTCTTCACCCTGAGTTTCTACTATGACAGTGCCGCTACAGAACAAAAGTTACGAATGTAACTATGGTTCTATGAATCCTGGATGACCGCCAGAAGTGGTGCTTAAATGCAAATTATTTCATAAATCATGCGGTTTTGCATGTACATCAACATACATTTGTAGATATAAAGAATCCTCAATATATTTAGAAATATATATATGTTTTGCATTTTTATAGTAGGTAGATCATTTTGACTTGATCATTTTATAAGTAGCTCGCATGCTGAAAAAGTGGGAGCACCCCTGCCCTATGCTACCACCAGAGGGAGGAGTTACGTTTTGTTTTTTTGTTTTATTTCAAAATTTGAAAATGGCCAGCTGCAAACAAAGACCTGGGATCAAAGTAAAGTACATAATTTCACCTGATGAATCGCTAAAATTAAAGTATGTGAAATACTTTTGTTTTAAAAGGTAGAAAACGGCTCTGAGTGTGATGTCATAGTGGTCCAGTGACATCATACTATTACAGGACTGAGGCAAGAGATTTTGGACAGAAGGGGTGGAGCTACACTTTTGTGCCAGAAGTTACTGATATTAGCATGGATGGAGCTAAAGACAACTCCAGGTCTGTGACTGAAGGGGAAAATATGACTTGTAACATGATTTTGCTGGAGTAGACCTGGAGTAGACCCACCTTTCAATCAGGTCGGTTCTGTCACTCATTTTCACATTTGTACAGTATTTCAGTCTCTGACACATATTTCAGACAGAAAAGGGAAAACGAGTGGACCACCCTCACTCAGCCAATCAGCTCTCAGCCCCAGGCATCAAATAGTGACTCATGGGGCTCTTACAATTTAGCCAATAACAAAATGTGATCATATCAAATGTGGTCGGATTCGCTGGAGTTTTACAGTAATTTTGATCACGATGATCCAGGACATTTATCAATATTTATGAACATTGGTCTCTGCCCCTTATGGACCAATGTCTTTTATATTGTTGCCTTTCCTGTGTTTGGACTGTTTGATTTCTGATCTATGTTGGCGAATCAACAACTTTGTAATGTCCTCCGAGATAGCTACTACTGCAATTCAGGGCTAAACAAAAATATATTGAATTGGAGTAATTTTATTGGTGAAATTGAATGTTATAGAAGAAGGATTTATCAGTGTGTACAAGTTTGAAACAGGAGCTGATAGACTGAAGGGGCAGATACATATTTGTGCCTGAAGTTCCTGATGTGTGCGAGGAATAGAGGGGGCTAAAAACAGCTCCAGGTCTGTTTTTGGCATGGTTAAAAGCTCAAAGTGTTGCACAATGTATAAAACACAGAACCCTATCTGTCACCCAGACATCTCCTCATCTATTAAAACCACGTCTCATTCCATTTCAATATATCTGTCATTTCTCTAAACTCTGCCGTCATTTCCACTCAGTCGCAGTCTCTTTGACGAATACCATTTCTGTCAAGTCTCCTGGAAATGTGCCCACCCCAGAAACCTTTACACCAATGGTATCTCAGTCTATTGTCACATTCTCAACATTTCTGGAGACATTTTCAATACCGTTATCTGTCCATCTCTTTTGTTCTGTCGCCATTTCGCTGAGCCACCAGTTTTAGACCACCGCCCAGTCCTCGCCCCAGGAACTAGATTTGTACCTTGAGGCTGCACTCGTGAATTCATAAATTTTAGGCAATTATTAAAAGGAAGGAAGGATGTATAAGTAATACTAATAAAGTCCATTTCATACGTCGATAGCAGCTCAATAGTGCTTCCTGGGGACAATGAAATATAAGTGATTTCAAACCTGGAGGACCAAACTTTTTTCTAACAGAAAGAGTAACATTTTAGGAATTAATTTAGACCAAACCATCCTGTCTTTCCTGTGTCCATACTGAGAGCTGATTGGCTGAGTGATTTGATTGGCTAAAGATGTGACAGTGGCCAAAATACATGTATGTGAAAACTCGTGATAATCTCTCTCTCTCTGGACTCGCCCTGGTCGCTCTCTAGTCTCTGTGTCTCTCTCTCTTTGATCTCGCTCTCGGATCACTCTCTCTGGTCTCTCTCTCGCTTGTCTCTCACTGATCTCTCTCCCCGCACTCTCTCTGCTCTCTCTCTCTCTGGTCTCTCACTGATCTCTGTCTCTGATCACTCTCTCTGGTCTCTCTCTAGTCTCTCTCTGGTCTCTTCTCTGGTCTCTCTCTAGTCTCTCTCTGGTCTCTTCTCTGATCACTCTCTCTGGTCTCTCTCTCTCTGATCACTCTCTCTGGTCTCTCTACCCGGTCTCTCTCCGGTCTCTCTCTGGTCTCTTCTCTGATCACTCTCTCTGGTCTCTCTCTCTGATCACTCTCCCCGGTCTCTCTCCGGTCTTTCTCTAGTCTCTCTCCGGTCTCTCTCCGGTCTCTTTCCGGTCTCTTTCCGGTCTCTCTCCGGTCTCTCTCTGGTCTTTCTCTGGTCTCTCTCTCTGTTCTCTCTCTAGTCTCTCTCTGGTCTCTCTCTGGTCTCTCTCTCATTGATTTCTCTCTCTGGTCTTAGCACCATTATGACTCACAAAAACACTTTGATTGTTCTTTTCTTGCGCCTATATTTCAACTGAAAGCTTCCATTTCAGAAAGTCTTTCAGGTTAAATTGTAAGAATTGTGTGTAATTGTCAGACAGAAAATGGAATAAGACCCTAACCCTAACTCTCTCTCAGCCAATCAGCTCTCAGCTCAAATAGTCCTAAAACTATGCAAAAAAAAAAAAATGTCATATAAGATGAAGACCTATTTTGGTTGTAGTCTGACTTTTTTATAACGTTTCACTTCCACAAGATTCATTCAGTTGAAAAACAAAACTACATTGTTACAAATTACTGAGTTAATGAATGTCAGTCGTGAGAAAAGATTTAGAAAAGTTGAGGAAATGATCACTGCACACCACAGCACTGCAGCAGAGAGCAGACTCACACTCCTGGTCCTACCTCCATCAGATCTATGAGCCACAGCAGCCTCTCCTGTTCAGAGGAAACACATTGTAATCCATTTTAAGTGTTTTTTACACTTTTGCTTGGAATAATAATACACACAAAAAAAAACAGGGCTGCGTCTGCAAACCTGGAGGAGATGCTGTGCTTGCAACACGAGCTTGGAGTAATTTAGAATAATAGCTACACAGAGAAGCGTCCACCTCATGCGTTTATTCATTCAATTATGTAGTTCTATCAAATGCATGGAGGTCACACTTAAATATATGAGGAATTTCAAATGTTAAGACCATGGACTGTATAAAGGAGTGGACTGACGCTTTGTAAGTGTAATTCACTGTCTGAAGAAACAAAACTAAAACGCCCTGTTTCCCCTACCACTAAAAACATGTAAAATATGTCAATGTCAATATAAATATCAGCTTTATTTGCATAGCACATTTACAACAACTCTAATTGCCAAAGGTGCTTCCCAGGCACACAAAAAAACCAAAATCAAAACATAGAATATACACAAATACAAGTAAAATGTACAACAGTAAAACTCAGCTGGTGTTATTGGCCAACGTGCAAAAATGTGTCTTTAGACTAGATTCAAAAACCTCAAGTGAAGGGACCAAGGAGACCAACAGAAAAAGTCCGGTTTTCTGACCTCACTGATCTGACAGAGGCATATGGAGATAATAGCTCCGTCAGATATACAGGATATAAAACATTTAAACACTTAAAAACAGGATCTTAAAATCAGCCCCGAATGTGACAGGGAGCCAGTGAAGTGAAGCCAGCACAGGGGTGATGTGCTCCCTCTGACAAAGAAGAGGCTCTGGTCCTGACCAAGCCAAGCATCAAGATTTAGAGAGGGCCCCGGGTCCTGCTCTTGAGAGACACTTTAGCGGCAATGAAAGATGGGAAAATTTAAAACAAATTCCTTCAAGGACAATAAAGCATATGTTTGTCGGAGCAAATACCAGGCTCCTGTCTTGTTGCATTGGATAACTGAGGCTACAACTCCATTGGGTGTGGAACGAATCAAGCCCTGGCTTTTACACAATCAATAGCAGCAGAATATTGTGCAGTGATTATTTGGCTTTAGAAACTGCTGCTTCCACTGCTCCACCGCAATGACATCTCTGTGTGAGTTTGTTTTACCGTGGGGAACAGTCATGACCTCATACACTGCATTTCAAACCCAAAAATAGACAATATAGACACAGGTAAAAGAAAAGGCCCACAACTTGTTTCAATGGAAAACATACATTTATATTTTGGAACAGGATGTACAGTCAAAAACAGATTATATTTTTCCTGTCTCCATGCAGGGAACTATATCCCATCTATCCTTGTGACGCTTTAAAAGGCATCTTGTACATACATACATTGGCCCCATAGCACTCAAAATTTGGTATACTTTGATAATCATATTCAATGAAGAGACTCTAATGAGATGAGTATCTTTGTTGTGTATCTATAGAATATGTATTACCGGAACCAGCACTCAGGGCCTGAACTGTGTTTTTGTGGGACATACCCGTGCCGAGCTGAGCGTGGTGTTGGTCATGAAGCTGGCTGAGGAGGAGGTGAGAGTGTCCGGGTACGACACCATGGAGCCCGAGTCTCCCAGGTGCGCTGTGGTCCCGGTCCCCTGCCGCGCCTTCAGGGCCTGGATCTCCCTCCGGAGGACCAGCGCATCGAACCGCTCCAGGTCCTGAGGGGTGACCACGGCCCGCACCTCCGACAGCAGGGAGAACTGTGGGCATAGCAGGAAATAAACAATGAACTCTCTATAGAAGCCTAATAATTTAAAGGTCAATATTCAGAATGGTTGATGAAGAGGTCCTTTGTCCAGGGGAAGAGTTCAAGTATCTGAGATGCTGAGGTATTTTTTGTCTTTTGGTGTCCAACTCAATAATAATGACTACAATGAAACAATGACATCTTTTTATTAGATTTTTTAGCAAGAATAATCCCAATGAGATCTGTCAAAATCCATGGTCAAAAACAGTTTCCTCGTTAAAGTGGCTTAGTAAATGTTTTACTAAGTCCAGAAACTTTGCCTTCACATGACTTGAACTTGTGGGTCCAGAGACTCAAACTTGACTTAGACTTATTTGTTTGGGAGGAAAAGCTCCAAGAGATGAAATGTCTTGTTTTCGAGGGGGTCGTCAAACTTGCACAAAATGCCAGATAAAACAAGGCCAAAAGTAAAGCAAGCAATAAATAATAACATAATTCAAGACAACACATAAAACACACACACATTGACCATGCAGGTCTAGAAACTCAAACTTGACTTTGACTGGAGAGCTAAATAGAAAACTTAACTTCATCTGTCTCTTTGTTTCTACAGTGATCGATACTCCACACAATGCAGTTTCCCACAGTCATTGAATGCAGCGTCGTGGGAGCAGATTACGTAAACACATCAGTTCTGTGTCAGTGGAGCGTGTCGAGCCGCTCTGATTGAGTTTTTTCCGTCGCTCCTGAACGCACCACGTTTGAGCCGACCTTGAAGCCGGCTTTAACAGCTCCTTGTGTTGCTTTTACAAGTCGGCTCTATGGAGCGCTATCCCACACAAGCACTCCCACATGACAGCAGCTTTATGGAGCCAATTCAGATCACACTGTCCGGCTCGTGTTTCTCTGTGAAATTATACAACCGTTTTATTATTGGGCTTTATCAAGAAGACAGGAGCACGTTACTCATTGAATACTGGGCTGTTCAGCAGCTCTGGCCCCGAGTCTCCAATTTTCAGGATTGTTGGAGAGCCGTGCAGAGTATTTTTCTGGCTATGGCCACGTTCTATGGCTCATTTGAAAGATGAGGCTTTAAGCTGTCAGTGTTTATTTCCACACACTTCTGTTCCTGAGAAAATCCAAGCTAAACTTTGACTTGTTTTGATCAAAAGCCTTGTTTTCTTTTCCCCCAGAATTTGAGAATATGCACTTTTTGACCTTGTCACAGTTCTGAAACTCTTCAGATCCTGTCAGACCTCTGAAGCTAAGCCGGGCAAGGGCTGGTTAGTACTGTAATAGGAGACCTCTGGGAACACCAGGTGCCACAATGGGGCGGCTACAGCTGTTAAGTGTTGTTGTGTCCTTAGGCAAGACACTTCACCCACATTGCCTAGAAGGAGATGGTGTGTGTGTGAATGGTTGGTGGTGTCACCAATTTGCAGCGATTGACGCTATGACCAAAAGAGTGGTTATAAACACAACAATTTAAGCAAAAGATCGGTACAACAAAACCAAAAATCTCTTTAACTTATGTGTACAGCCTTTGTGATGATTGAGGGTCATTGGATCCGGGACACGTTTCAATTTACTCAAAATACTGGATGCACAGTAGATGGATACAGGGTCATCTGTTTGTCTTCATGAATCAATACATTTAGTTCATTGCTTTTATTGTTTGATTTTCTAATCTGTTGGCAAATCAACAAAGCTGGTATTTTCAAACAAAGTATTTGATTTGACCGATCATGCATAATATTGTTGTTTAAAGCAGTCGCCCAGTGAGCTCTCCTCCAACAGCAGATGGAGAGAGCCGTGTCGTGGAGAGCAGTCACATAAACTGCCGGTGATGGATGGGGCTTTGTTGATAAGGTGAAGAGCAGACACTTCCCTGAGACGGTAAAACCACAGAGACATGAGAGCTCTGTAAATCTGGCGCCCCGGAGTGAAAGTGCTGATGGGTGGTGAGGAGTGCCAACCACGGCGGCTTTGTTTTGGGCCAATCTTTATGAGATTTTATTTATTTATTTGAGCATCTGTTTAAACACACCCAGGACATTCATTTAATTGGGCAAAAATTATACAAGTATTTACAAATTTACAATCCTACCTCTCTTGAATGATCTAATATGTATATTTACTGGAGCCGGGACTTCAACTAATTAATTAAAATCTGCATTAGATTACGCATTTCTCATGGGAGGAGTTTTGGCCGACCAATTATACTGAAACACCTTCTGTTTTGGACAACAACAAACCACACAGGACATGAAGCTGACCACATTGGTGTTCCACATGGATGAGAATTGTTGTTGTAAAAATGAACGGATGGAAGCGTCGATAAGAGCAGGGTTGTGGGCGTATATCAGCGCAGTACCACCTCAGTGCTTAACATAGAGCAGCTAGCATGGACGTTAGCCCGAGTAAAGACCCACACCCAACCACACTCACCGGGTGACTGCTCTAAGGCTGGCTCACTGGATTGCGCTCGGCTGTAGACCACTTGACATGGCAGAGGATAAGTTAAAAATGTTTTCTATTTCTAAATATGCTATTTCTACACTTAATTGCAGAAGTTGCACTGGTCTGTTGGACTTGGTTCTACAAAATGAGAAATATTTTGTCGCCTTAGCTTTGGTACTCAGTCATTACTCAATCGTATGCTATAAATCCATGTCAAAAAAGTACTGTTGCTGTTTAATAATGACTCGAGTGTAGTCAGTCTGTAGAGTCGAGTTGTTTATAGAACTGACTATAACTGCAAAGAGCCAATATGAACAAGTTTAGTTTTCGCAATACAAAACTGGTCTGATTGTGACATTTATTAATTATTCATATCTCGCAAGAAACTACAGATCTACTTTTGTCTGAGTAAACTTTCACCATCCAAAAGTCCACCCCTGACTTCCAACCGCCTCCGTGCAGCCTTGTCCCTGTTTGTGCACAGTATAATGCACCGCTATCAACTGACTTGTTAGACTTGAGTGATATAAATAATGTTTGAAGACGTCTGCATGAACTACGTTATGTCAATCAATACAGTTTTTGAAAAGGCGGAAGTATTTGAATGCAGGATGTCATCTCTCCCCACATCCCAAATGTAAAAAATGGACTAGTGCCGCACAGAATAACATAACTGGAGACATCAATATTATAGATTTTTTTTGCCGAGCCGAACTGTGTCTGGGGGCGGAAAAATAAGAATCCTAGCAGAACAATAATCCTCTCATTCAATGGGCACAGGCTAATGACAATAATTACTATAATCTGAATCTAGAATGTACTTTGTTATTTAAGGAAAGAGCCTCTAAACGTGCTGCTAGCTAGAGCCAGACTTCTAACCATTATTCAATTTCATTTCAAAAACTGTCCATTTAAACTGTTGTTAACTCAGCTCATCCACAGCTGCAGGAAGAACAGACCTCTTCATCATCGCCAATTTTGACTTGATGCACCCGGATTCACCCATTGTTCCTCTGTCTGTTCCATGAATGCACTGATAAGACTCAAAATACTGGACTCCCTGGACTAGTCCCCATTCAGCCTGAAACCCTGGACTCCCTGGACCTGAAGACTAGTCCCCAGTCTGAAACCCTGGACTCCCTGGACCTGAAGACTAGTCCCCAGACTGAAACACTGGACTCCCTGTACCTAACGACAAGTCACAGTCTGAAAGCCTGGACTCCCTGGACCTGAACACTAGTCCCCAATTCGTAAACCCTGGACTCCCTGGACTCCCTGGACCTGAGAACTAGTCCCCAGCTTGAAACCCTGGACTCCCTGGACCTGAGAACTAGTACCCAGTTCTAAACCCTGGACTCCCTGGACCTGAGGACTAGTCCCCATGTAGCCTGAAACCTTGGACTCCCTGGACCTGAGGACAAGTCCAAGTCTGAAACCCTGGACTCCCTGGACCTGAAGACTAGTTCCTGTCTGAAACCCTGGACTCCCTGAATCTGAAGACTAGTCCCCAGTCCGAAACCCTGGACTCCTTGAACCTGAAGACTAGTCCCCAGTCCGAAACCCTGGACTCCCTGAACCTGAAGACTAGTCCCCAGTCAGAAACCCTGGACTCCCTGGAGCTGAAGACTAGTCCCCAGTCCGAAACCCTGGACTCCCTGAACCTAAGGACAAGTCTGAAACCCTGGACTCCCTGGACCTGAGGACTGGTCCCCTGTCCCCCTGTTTTCTCGAAATGACTGTTGTTGTGATTTTGTGCGACGCAAACACAATTGACTTAATCTGAATATGCTTCGACCTCTACATAAATGCACTCTCACACTGTGGGGGTGGTAGTTTGCGTGGCTCACACTGTGGGGGTGGTAGTTTGCGTGGCTCACACTGTGTGGGTGGTAGTTTGCGTGGCTCACACTGTGGGGGTGGTAGTTTGCGTGGCTCACACTGTGTGGGTGGTAGTTTGCGTGGCTCACACTGTGGGGGTGGTAGTTTGCGTGGCTCACACCGTGGGGGTGCTAGTTCCCGTGGCTCACACTGTGGGAGTGGTAGTTTCGTGGCTCACACTATGGGGGTGGGAGTTTGCGTGGCTCACCTTGGCGTGTGTGTTGAGCAGCTCCACCAGCGCCTGCACCAGAGGCTCCACCGTGATGTGGCCGTCCCTGTACTCCTCCAGGTAGTAGCTCAGGGTGTGGCGCTCGTTCTCCGTCAGCAGGTGGCGAGCTTGCTCCTCCATCATGGCCCTGGACTGGTTTGCCAGACTAGACAGTGTCACCTGGGAGCCCGCCACGCCCTTGTAGAAGCCCGGCTGAAACGCAACACATGGGAGAGTTTACATATGAAAAAAGGAGAGAGATAGAAAATAAAAAAGAACAAGACACCAATAGTTGAATAATCTAAGTTTGTAAAAAAGAGTGAAGATACAATCCTTCAGTTGTCTGCAAAGCGAAACAGAACTGTTTTTAACCTGGATTTGAAAATTGTCAAACCTGTCTCACATTTTCAGGAAGGCTGATCTAGATTTTAGCTGCATAAATCTCAAACGGCCAGTTCCTGAGCTCCTCAGTGTCTCAGTTTGTTCATATGGCATTAACATGTCATGGAGACTTACGGCTGCTTTAAAGTCTATTCTCTGCAGCACATAATGACAACAATATTATTTATCTAAATGTACTTTTTCTTTTAATTAAATGTAAAATATATAAAAACACATACGCAAGGGTCCAGGAGAGCAAAAAAAAGTAAAAAAAAGATGACTTAAGCTTGCTTGATTGTTTTTCCCTTTTTCGCTTAAAGTAAAAAAAAAAACATATTCAAAATAATTATTATATATTGATTATAATTTATCCAGGAACGCCCCCAGATTGCAGTCCTGGCTCTAGAGAAACGGAAGCCATTGCGTGTATTGGAAACCGGAGCACCCAGGGAAACCTTTGCAGACACAAGGAGAACATGCAAACTCCACATGGAATGGCCTGGAGGTGGAATCGAACCACCTCAAAAAACAAGGAGTAGTTATCTGCAGTTCATCCAAAGCGATCATGGGCCTCTCCGCTGCATCTCTGATCAGTCTTCTCCTTGTTTGAGATGAAAGTTTGGAGGGACGGCCGGGTCTTGGTAGATTTGCAGTGGTCTGATACTCCTTCCATTTCAATATAACTGCTTGCACAGTGCTCCTTGAGATGTTTATAGCTTGGGAAATCTTTTTGTATCCAAATCTGGCTTTAAACTTCTCCACAACAGTATCTCGGACCTGCCTGGTGTGTTCCTTTGTCTTCATGGTTCTCTCTGCGCTTTAAACAGAACCCTGAGACTATCAAAGAGCAGGTGCATTTATACGGAGACTTGATTACACACAGGTGCATTCTATTTATCATCATCAGTCATTTAGGACAACATTGGATCATTCAAAGATCCTCACTGAACTTCTGGAGTGAGTTTGCTGCACTGAAAGTAAAGGGGCCGAATAATATTGCACGCCCCACTTTTCAGTTTTTTATTTGTTAAAAAAGTTTGAATCATCCAACAAATTTCGTTCCACTGCACGATTGTGTCCCACTTGTTGTTGATTTATGACAAAAAATTAAAATGTTATATCTTTATGTTTGAAGACTGAAATGTGGCGAAATGTTGAAAGGTTCAAGGGGGCCGAATACTTTCGCAAGGCACTGTATTTCAGCAAATAAATGATTGTGTTAGTCTGGAGTGGATCATGTGTCCTTCTTCAGTGTAGTGCAGATAAACAATATCCTGTATTGTGTTGTCAGATCTGCTCCTTTCCTGAAGTGCGAAACCTTTGATCCAGCACTTACACAAATACACAAGCAACGGATCAAAGCAAAAGAAATCAAGAATCGTAAAACACGCAGTTTCCACTTGAGGCCTGTGTCTGGGACGACTCAAGTCAATTCAATTCAGTGTATTTTTGCATCGCTCAAAATCACAACAGCAGTCGTCTCGGAGTTCTTTACAAAGTTGTCGATTCTTCAACAACAGATCAGAGAATAAAACAGTTTGAACACAGATTTAAAAACAACCACATTGGAGCCATTGATCCATAGGGAGCGCGTTGACCAGAGTCCATAAATGTTAATGTGTGATGAGTGTCTGCGTAAGTGTGTGTGTGTGTGTGTGTGAGAGAGAGTTCAGTATAGGATTGTTTGAAAGTAAAGAATGGGGGCTGGGTGATTTTATTTTAAATTGTAATGTATGTCTGATAATGTATGGTAAAGTATCCATCTACTTTTATTTTACTATTTAACAACCTGCTCAGGGACTACAGGTGTAAATTAGCTCTGCTGCTACAACCTGGTACAACCTGTTCGTTATTATTTCATGTCCTCTGTTTAATCCGTCGTTGGCCAATCCACAACTTTGTAAAGTCCTCCGAGACGACTGCTGTTGTGATCTAGGGCTATAACACAAACACAACAAATAGAATTGAGATCTGCTTTGTTGTCATTTAATGCATATTTTAATGTGCAATGTGTTTTGTTGAACTTGTATTATCGCTTCTTCATGATTCCATGTGTGTCTTTGGGAATGCTGAGGAGGCAGTGTAACACTGTGCATCCAAGTGGGTCAACACAATCATTTATGCATTAAGTTTCTCACAGGTTATGACAGCGTATAGAAACGAGAGCCGCGAGAGATGAGGAAACGAAAATGGACAGTTTCCGTGCAATTTGGCAAAGTGCCTTTTAGAGGAAATTTTCCATATTTCTACAGAATGCATTCTCAATGTGTCTAATGGAGGCTGACATAAAGCAAATTTATGTTTCTAATTAAAGATTTGTGGAGGGAAGAATCCATGACAGCCAACATGCCCCGGTAACCCAACTTCTTTCTATCAACGCTGAGAAATAAGCTAAGAAATAAGCTAAGAAAGAAACTAAGAAAGAAGCCAAGAAATAATACTTTAATAATATTTAAAGAAGAAATATTACGCATTATTTTTGTCTATTGAAACATATATTGAGACTAGTAACTTCGTGAATTTCCGTTTCAGAATGTGAAATAATATCTCCAGTTGAATATACAGGTACATGGTGAAACATGTCTAAAAGGTAAAACATGCTTTCTGTCTGTAACTCCCTCCACTGCCACCAGAAGGAGGAGTCAAATAAGGGTTTTCTCCAAATTTGAAAATTAGCTGCAACACATGCCTCTCATTTCACCGGAGGAATCACCAAAACTAATTAATGGGCTATAATTTAGTTTTAAAGGCAGAAAACTGCTTTGAGTGTGATGTCATAATGGTGCAATGACATCATACTATTACAAGACTGAGACTGGATCTTTTAGACAAAAGGGGCGGAGTTACATGTTTGTACCACAAGTTTCTGATAATGGCGTGGATGGATCTAAAAACAACTCCAGGTCTGTTTGGGAGGAACAATGTTGTCACGTGGTTAAAAGAGAGTGTTGTGGACCTATGGTTGAGAAACACTATTGTTTGGATTTCCACCTGGTTATATGGGCCAATGAAAAAGTAAAGTTAAACCACAGATGCAGATAGACCATAGAAAGAAGTGGACATAGAGAAATTGCTGACATTATAATACTTTTTAATTTTTTTTATTCTTAATAAAGTTACAATTCACATCTTAAATTATACATAAAATCATGAATAAGCCAATACTTTCCATCAGCAGTCGATGTAGTCCCACTCACCTCTCGGCACGAGCCCATGAGCCTCCAGGGAAGAGAGAGGTAGCACCAGGCCTACAGTGAACAGCACAGCCCAAAAGGTAACCAAAAACCCCACTTCCCATCATGCCTTTCTGCTACACATATACAGCCAGAACAGACGACAACTGCACATACATGGACTTTTACCGACTGTGAACGTGAGGACAACAGACCAACAGTAATATCAAAATGTGATGCCATAAAAACGCTTCTTCCACTGCATCCACAAATCATATCAATCCATTTTAAATCAAATCAATCCACTTTATCCCTTGCCGATTCACGGGGGCAGCCATCTGAGCAGAGACGCCCAGAAGTCCCTCTCTACACACACACTTCTTCCAACGCATCCAGGGGATTCTTAAGGCGTTCCCAGGCCGGCTGAGAAACATAGTCCCTCCAGCGACCCCTGGGTCTCCCCCAATCACCTCAACTGGCTCCTCTCGACGTGGAGAAGCAGCGGGTTCGTCTACTGAACAATATCATGTTATGTATAATACTGCTGTATAGTGTTTTGACAAATTCTTGTGTTGTGTTGTGTGGGGGAGGGAGGGCAGAGGTCATTCAACCACTTTCCAAAACGTGTATCTGTAATTTTGTTTTGTAAAACATCAATAGATCAGCTTTTTCCAACAGATAAGTGAAAAAAGAGGACCAGCGGGAGAGACCTGAGAGTGAGAGACCAGAGAGAGAGAATAGAGAGAGACCGGAGAGAGAACAGAGAGAGACCAGAGAGAGACCAGAGAGAGAACAGAGAGAGACCAGAGAGAGACCAGAGAGAGACCAGAGAGAGACCATAGAGAGACCAGAGAGAGACCAGAGAGAGAACAGAGAGAGACCAGAGAGACGGAACAGAGAGAGACCGGAGAGAGAACAGAGAGAGACCAGAGAGAGACCAGAGAGAGACCAGAGAGAGAGAACAGAGAGACCAGAGAGACGGAACAGAGAGAGAGAACAGAGAGAGTGACCAGAGAGAGACCAGATAGACCAGAGAGAGATCAGAGAGAGAGACCAGAGAGAGAGAACAGAAAGGGAGAACAGAGAGAGACCAGAGAGGGACCAAAGAGGGACCAAAGAGGGACCTGACAAGACCAAAGAGGTACCAGAGAGAGACCAGAGACTTAAAAGAGGAACCAGAGAGAGACTTAAGAGAGAGACTTAAGAGAGAGAGCAGAGAGAGACCAGAAAGAGGGACCAAAGAGGGACTTAAGAGAAAGACCAAAGATAGGGATAAGAGAAGGGACCAGATAGAGAGATCAGAGAAAAAAAAAAGAGACCAGAGAAAAATGCAAAAGAGAGGGATACTTTTTCTTTCTCATATTAGCAACGGTTTCATTTTAAAAACCCCACGACCATCAAAAAAACCTTGAACGCAATAACTTGAACGCAAAACCCCTGACAACTCTTTTTAAGTAAGTGACTTTCCGTTGCGTAGGTGGGAAATGAAAAATCTAAAATAAGGATTCTGAGTTTGCCGTGGAGACGCGTGATGTATGTGCTGAGCTGAATCGCAGAAATGGCGGTGACAAAGCAACGGCGGTGTGTCGCATATAAAGCAGCACGGGGCATTTCTCAGACCCCGCTGTGAGAGGTGAGGTCTCGACACAAAGGCCACGA